CCCTCCATGCGCAATTGCTCTGATGTGCTCATGGAGCTGTCTGGCCTGATTGCTTTCTCCATTCATTTCTGTTAACATAGCTGATTTGTACACACTTCTGTTTGTGCATGCAGAATAACTCTCCCTCCCCCCATTGGAATTGTTGTGCAAGAGATCCCTGTGTGCAGCTGAGTGTAGATGGCTGTCTGGACTGAGGAGAAGGAATGTTCAGCAAAACTTCAGGGGCAGACGACTTGAATGTTAGGGTAGATGGATAGGCAAATATATAGGTAGCCTCTGGTGTAAGCAAATCAGTTCATCGCCACTCATGAGTTTTATTTAGTACTGTCATGTCCATTGTCTGCAAAGGTGAAAATGGGAACAGCAGCAAGCAACCAAACAATTAGTACTATAGTTGGTTAATTTTATTGTTCTATATTTTAAGTGACATTGGGCACTTGTTAGAAAGGGAAATGTTTTCATGTTAAACAAATTAACAACAGCAACATAAGAAAATCTTGTTTCCCACTCTGAGCTTTAAGAATAGGTCAGGCTACAATAAAATGTTCATTTAACAGGACCATGGCAAGAATGAGAGGAAACAGTGTAAAAAAGAAGAGAGGAGTTTTGCAGAGCCACAAACCTCTCTAACACTTTGAGCATGACTATATTAGACTTAATATTGATTTAGCGAGGAATCCAATGTCTTAAAAAAATCCATATTACTTTCTGCATAGAAGCTTTCTTAATATGACAAGACAGTAATTGAATAAATATGAGTTTCAAAATTGCAAGCACTAAAACACATTGATTTTTTTTTTTTAAAAAAAGAAATATCTCCAGGTCTAAAAATGTGTCACATGATTCTTACCAAAGTAGAATTTTAGAAGTAACAGAGTCTCTACAGAAGAAAGAATAAAAGTACAAGGGTATGCAGTAGCAACGATGAGTGCAGCCGCTCTGATTCACAGCCCTGTGTGTGCAAACTGGGAGGTCCTACTGAAGTCTTTGACAGGCTGGCGCTCTCCACAGTGCTGGCTGGGGCTGGTGAGAGTTGCAGCCCAAAGCCACTGGATGACACTGGTTTGGTGAAGGCTGCCTTACTATGTGAGTGGCTCATTCATTAAGGATGGGGGAAGAAATTAAGTTCAGTTCACATGTAAAGGTAAACCTACATAACTGACACTTCCTGAAACAATACACGGACCGAAACAAAGCCATCTTTCAAAATGTGCATGTCTCCAAATTTTGCAATGCAATTCTCCAGCTAAGTGATGTGTAGAGAAATACACATACAGGGGCAAAGCATGCATAAAATCCTCTTTTTAGTGCAAATAACATGCAAAAATGCATTATATTTGGGGTTATTATTTTGAAGTAATAAAAGTATATTAAAAAGGTAAAGGTAAAGGACCCCTGGACGGTTAAGTCCAGTCAAAGGCAACTATGGGGTTGCGGTGCACATTTGTTCACAGACAGCTTTCTGGGTCATGTGGCCAGCATGACTAAACCGCTTCTGGTGCAATGAGACACCGTGATGGAAACCAGAGCGCACGGAAACGCTGTTTACCTTCCCGCCGCAGTGGTACCTATTTATCTACTTGTATTGGCATGCTTTTGAACTGCTAGGTTGGCAGGAGCTGAGACAGAGCAATGGGAGCTCACTCCGTCATGGGGATTAAAACTGCCAACCTTCTGATCAGCAAGCCCAAGAGGCTCAGTTGTTTAGACTACACTGCCACCAGAAGCGGTTTAGTCATGCTGGCCACATGACCCAGAAAGCTGTCTGTGGACAAACACCCGCTCCCTCGGCCTGAAAGCAAGATGAGCGTTGCAACCCCATAGTCACCTTTGACTAGACTTAACCATCCAGGGGTCCTTTACCTTTACCTAAAAGTATATTAGGCAATATTGCATACCCAAATGTATGTGTTTAAGAAAAAAAACACACAAAAATCCTGTTGATGGCTTTTTTTACAAGAACTGGGCAAAAGATCTTAAATGCACTAAGAATATGCTGATTGTGAAAATGAATTCAGCCTCCAAAAATAAAATTATGTATGTCAGTTTTCTATTTCACATGGAATATCATTGTACTGCAAGTTACTCTCAGTTATTGATACAATGACATCCCTTTAAAGGAAAAAAATATGTGTGTGCGTGTGCTAGGTACATTAAATATTTATGGAAGCTGAAAATTCCGCTTAAAAGCAAACTGATTGTTCAGGATAGAGAAATGATAAATAAACGGTCATATATGCATTCTAATCTGGCTTTCATGACTGGTACAGAAGCAGTCTTGTTTGGCCAGGTGGATGAAGCTGCTCTCGTATGCAATCTACATTACCTGAAATAAACTAGGGGTGCACAAACTGGCTATGTTTGAGCTCATAATTTCCCTTGTTATTTACAGAAACTCACAGTATAAGCTTGGCTGAGCATTCACCATGTTTCCAGTAACTATTTTAGATTTTTGGTTGTTGCTGCTGCTGTTTTTAAAAGTACTTCCAGATTCCTACAAGTGCCATTAAGCGTGTTGTAATTAATGTTGCAAGTCCCACTGGGTGCTGTGGATCGTGGTGATGTGCTGTCACTATCCTGGGGAATTTTAAGTATTCAATATATTTTATGTACATTTTACATATTTTACATTCAGTTCCACCTTGAAGTATGTAAAATACATTAAATGTGTAAAAATTCCTCCATAGAGTGATGGCACGTAATCAAGAAGTGCTGTCGATATCAGGAATTGCTCCGCATTAATTTCAACACACACAGTAACAGGGAACTTTACGTACAGAGATAGATGGATCTGTCACTTTCCATTCTCCCAGTTTCTCATTTTTCCAAACCTGAATTCAGAAATTTGTGGGTTTTTATAATTATAAATATTAATCAGCATTGTAGCATGATTCTTTTATTTTATTTTTTGGTAATGCACACATTTTTGCCTAATATATTTTTGGAAAGTGATTTTTCCTAACATAATGTAAATTTGGATGTGAAATATACATTTGGTGCATATTTTACCATGGTATATGAATTTTTGTCCACTTGGCTGGAGCACTGCACTGCAAAATTCAGAGAATGGCATTATCTCTCAACCTGAGCTCTGATTCCATCTATAACCTATAGATAACAATAGCATTACCCTACCTTGCAGGGTAATCTAAGTAATGGCTGTTGAACCTCTTGGAGTCCTTGGGGAAAGCACCATAAATCATTGCTGGTGCAGCACTGTGAAGGAACAATCTGCTCACCCAAGAAGAACCATAGAAACACTTCCCTTTATTCTGTGCTCAGGAATTGCTGGTCAGATCTTTGTCTCCTGCAATTTTCCTTGCAGAAAAACTTCCCTCTGGCTTCTACTGCTCCTTTGAAGATGAAGACTGTGGCTGGACTCAAAGTTCATCAACTTCCCAAGAGGCCCATCTGTGGCATATTGGAAATCCACAACATAGCCATTTTTGTTTGAAAGGTATGTCAGAGTTGTACCATACTACAGGGGGAAGGGGATAGACTTCATTTAATTGTCTTAGGCCAGTGGTTCCCAATCAGTGGTCCATGGACCACAGGAGGTCCACATAACCCACTCCGGGGGTCTGTGGCACCATTCACAAAACAAAAACTTCTATAGAGACAGTGCTTTTTTTCAGACAGAACTCACCGGAACCAAGTTGTGGCACCTCTCAGGTGGGTGCTATTGCCATTATAAGAGAGCAAGGGAGGTGTTCATGGCGAGTTCTGGCACCTCTTTTTCTAGAAAAATAGCACTTCATAGAGAAATTAAAAAATTCAAAAGTCGGGGGTCCATGGCTACGCTTTTGAAAAACTGGGGGTCTGCAGTTCTTAGCTAATTGGGAACCACTGTCTTAGGTCATTGAAAAGAGAATTAAATTTCCAAGGTTTATTTATTTCCAATACCCTGCCGTTAGGGAGAGTGAGGTGGCTGTCTGACATGGCAGATGTTGACGGCAGGCAGTGGTGGCAAGGCACTAGCCCCATGACCAGGATTGAAGTAAGACTGAATTGCCCGTCCAGTCAGCTCCAGCAGATGGAATGCAGGAGGATGAGAGGCATCTTGTCTTTCACCTCAGGCAGCAAAATGTGTCAGGCTGGCCCTGAGCAATTCACAGCGCCAAGATTTCCGTTCTTTTGGAGTTCTCTTCATGTTGCCGTGATGATGGTAGAAGTGACCTTCAGCCTCAAGCTTCAGTGAAATATTACTTTTGCATATTTCATAACGGCAGAGGTTCACTCAAAATCAAATTTTTAAAAAAGTTGGATGCATTTTGATTCGGAGCAAGTGAAGAAAACAAATCCCAAGTCAGGGATAAACATTGTTTGTGAGAGAAGCTGGCAGGGCGCTTGCGTATAATTCTGAAGGTGGGACCCTGGGGTATATGAAACTGCATTACTGCATCCAAAGAATACTGAAAAATGACTTCAGCTGTGTTATCCCTCTATAATAAGGGCCTACCTGACATTTGCATGTCTACGTGTACACACCCACCCACAACCAAATACTCTGTTCTGCTGCACAAATGTTCCATCAAAGTAGTAACAAATTTACCTCCCCTTCTTCTCTCCCCTCCTTTTGCCCCCTCCCAGAATGTGCACTTCTGCTTAACACCAGTGAGATGCCAGCTGCAGAAACAGTTGTGGTGACTAGTGCTGTGTTTCCAGCTCCCATGAAAAACTCACCCTGTGAGGTAAGTATACTTGCTTAGCTGCAAACTGGAAAAGTGTGCAAGGTGCTTAGATTGTCAAAAAAGAAGATGCATGTCTAGCTATTATCAGGCCCTTCACATTACCCTTTTATTTGAATGACATGAGCTACAAATACTAATGGCTCGGGCAGTGTCGGGTATTCCATTCCAGTTTGTTATTTGTTGTTTACCGTCTTATTTCCTCCCAAACATTGCATACAACAACACACATATGTGCAGACACCCACACACCCACACCTGCACACAGAATGATAATAATGAAAGTAAATATTTTTCCCCTTTTATCTTCCAAAATGTGAGGGCGATCTGGCTGCAACATCTGTCACCCCATTGATCGCCAGGGTTGATTCGGCTGATCTGGCTGGCTAGGCGGGTGTCCCCTTCCTCCCTCACCGCTCCATGTGTGTCCCTCCCGAAGCTGCGCACTCGGTGGAAGAGGATGACCATCCCAGATAGAAGGAGTGTACCGTTCTTCGGTCAAGGGTATACGATAGCTGCGCTCCCCTGCTAGAACCTCCAAACAAGTCGGGTATTCCATTCCAAGGGCTGCTGCTTTCAGTGGTGTAGAGCATCTCTGCACTTTAAGTAGCAAAGACAATCGTTACTACATGTTCACCAATGTTTCTGTGTGCTCTGGACAGCATGGTGAATTCCTTTGTGAATGTGTACGTGCAAGGAACCCAGTGAAATACACAGCAATTGTGTTTATCAAGCAAAGAGTGGAGGACCCATTATCTCCACTCTTCTCTCACCTTTAGAAACTGATCTTTGGGACCCTGAGTTCGAAACCAGCTGTGAGAAATAGCGCCTCCACTGGTGAACTAGAGTTATTGGCTAAAGAAAAAGAAGACTCACAAAAAGCGCCATTCAAAACTGGGTTTGAAGTGGGAGAGTCCTGTGTAAGAAACTCGGTGAAATAATTGGGTTCAGTTCACATTTAAATGCAGACCTACCTAATCACACTTCCCCAAATAATACATGAACTGAAGCACAACTTCAAAATTTGCAGTTTTCTGAAATCTGAAATTTTCCAGCTCAGTAATGTTGACAAAAATGTTTGTACTAGGATAAAATATGCATAAAAAAGCATATATTAGTAAAAAAATAACAGAAATAATGCATTATATTAGGGAAATAGCTTGCAAAAATATGTATATTGGGCAAAATTCACATTTAAATGCTAATTAATTTTCATAAAGTTTTTTTATTAAAAAAGACACACAGATGAATATGGAAATGTAAAGAACTGAACTTAAGGCTAGAAAAAGTGAAAAATTGAGAGAAACCAAATTGACACATTCACTCATCCCTAGACCAATGGGAAAGGATGATAAATCAATGTGTGCCAGACTTAAAGCTCCCCTTAAGATTTCTTTTTTAATTTGTACAGGGACAGGAGCATCGTAGGTTAGGGGACAGCCAGAACTGCCCATTCCTTTGAACGACTATTGTACTTCTGTGAATGATAAATTCACTCAAGTAAGGAGGGAATGAAAACTGTCATGTTTGGCCTTTAGAAGTAATTAACATCGCTGATGTAAATCACTGGTGCTCTTTAGCAGCGGCAGGAAAATTACATACCCAAGAGGCGTATAAAATTAAAATTGGAAACCGCTTTGCCACTAGTGCTGCAGAGTGCGTAGGAATAATTACAGCAGAATTGTGCAAATAGGAACTGCTAGGTCATACAAAAGCATCCTGGATAAGTACCCAAAGAGTTCAGATTCATTGCATCCATATATCTGAAGTTTGATTTTTCTATACTTTATTAGTAATGCTAACATTTTCTACATTTTCAAAAAGAAATTGGCACTCAGTGAATTCTTGTAGATGCCCATTTAGAGCCACAGTTCTGAGAGACTTAAGTCTCAGTGCAAACTCTGTAAAGCAGCCTTTGCCATCCTGGTGCCCTCCAGATGCTTTAGACTCCAAATCCCCCAGCTGCATCCAGTTCACAATGGGGCTGATGTGAACTGTAGTCAAAAAAACATCTGGAGCACCCCAGGTTGGTGAAGGTAGTGGTAAAGGAAGATTGTTGAGGACAAATACAGGTACTATGTGTTGGGAGTGAAATCCATGTAAAAACAGTGTTGCAACAGGCAAGCAAAGGCACCTGTATCCTTGTACCCTCCCTTTCCCCACTCCTGGAAAACAACATTTCAGATTTCAGAAGAGACTCTCTAATAAGAAACTCTAATAAGAATAGGGTTTGTTTGGGGGTGGAGTTGACCTGGTTTGCAGAGTTTCTTCTCTTGCTGTTTTAGGTGCATAATTGCAAAACCCGGGCATACACACAGCATGAATGGACACAGTAATTGGGAGGTTGTCAGGATCAAGTGTTTGTGCAACATTCGCCAGAGATATGAATGGAAACAAGTATTTATGGAAGGGTGGCAAATCCAATTCTTGCAGTGTAACTCAACATAAGATGAACTTGCTCAATAGACTAGCTTGATGGTGTGCCCACTGTCCCCAGTTATTCCAGCTGAGGTGAGAAAGCTCAGCGATACTGCATCTGCTTTGCATGCAAGAAGTTCTAGTTTTGGTCTCTTGGTAGCTGTGGGAGAGATTCATGTCTGAAACCCTGGAGAGTCATCGGCTGTTAATGCACACAATGCTGAGCTAGATGGACCAATGGCCTGACCACAGCAGCTTCCTGTATTTCTAGGTGAACCCTCCTTCCCTCATCTGTCACCTTGGGGTTAACATCTTGCTATGAGAGGGAACTATTCAGCTAATTCCTTGTGCACTGGGAAAGACTTCTGTTGGTGCAGTAGGGCTCCTCCCCCCATCCATGCCTCATACCCTCCCCCAAATCTACTCCAGTGTGAGCCAGTGTGGTGTAGTGGTTAAGAGCGGTAGTCTCGTAATCTGGTGAAACGGGTTTGCGTCTCCGCTCCTCCACATGCAGCTGCTGGGTGACCTTGGGCTAGTCACACTTCTCTGAAGTCTCTCAGCCCCACTCACCTCACAGAGTGTTTGTTGTGGGGGAGGAAGGGAAAGGAGAATGTTAGCCGCTTTGAGACTCCTTAAAGGGAGTGAAAGGCAGGATATCAAATCCAAACTCTTCTTCTTCTTCTTCTTCTTCTTCTTCTTCTTCTTCTTCTTCTTCCAGACAGCTGGGGGAATCTCTATAACTAGAGAAGTTAATGGAAGAAAACAGGATGAAAAGAACAGAGTAGTTGTAATGGAAAAGGGCAAAATCAGCATGAGCCAGGGGTTCTTAACCTTTTTTGGCCTTGGCCTTTGAAAATCAAAGCGGTAGCACAAAATGCCCCTTTCACAAAAGGCAAATTGATGATGCTCAGGCCACCAGTCCCCAAACAAGCAACACACCTACACCTTCCCATTACAAAATAAATAAAACACAGGGAGGAGTGAAACTTTTCCCTCCCCTCCTTCAAAACTTCTCGTGATACACTTTTTTAAGACCTTTTTCCTGAGACTTGCTTACTTCCAGTATTGGAGCCAGGCTGGGGGGAAATACCTTAAAGCAGGAACATAAAGCAGGGGAGGAAGCAGGTTTTGTTTCCATCCTCTGCGCACTCCATGTTGAAAAAGGTAACCCTTTCCCCGCACTTTATCCAAACTAGTAACCCTGTGTTTAATGCATGCCCACACTGTCTGGGTCATCCCTTGGCTCCCCTTTTCTCTGACAACATCCCTCTGCTATAGTGATTTTTCTTCCTGATCTTAGGTTAGGAGACTTTTATGTTGTATTATTTGATTGCATTTATTCCTAGTGGACATCTTTCTTCAGACAATTAGACACTTGCTACCTCAATTTCGATTGACATATTGACACACTCCTATTCAATTTCCTCTCTTACCATTGCTTCTTCCTTTACAAGAGTCTCTCCTTTCCTTCCTTCATGCCTGCAGCACATGCAAGATGTAAATATTTTAAAACTCCATTTTGTCACAGACCAGCAAGTGTGAATATTTCTCATAATCTGCCTGCTGTCAGAAGCCGGGTGAATAATTTCCCAAGGTGTGTTTGTTCCCCCCTCCCCCCCGTCCATAAACAGGGTGAATAATTAAACTTGCATTTGAAAGTGCATTGGGGAGGGGAAGAGAAAGTTGCAATCTATTACTGCCCCACCTCTGTCACTCCCGGTGACACTTAAAAGTCGCCCATGCAGATCCAGCATTGCAGCTGTTGGTAATAAAGACTCAGCAGATTTTGGCAATGGTTCTTGCTTCTTCCTTTTCACACTGTGCAGAAGCCTCGGCTCTGAACAAGCCCTGGCTTGAGGCTTCAAAGACTATTTTACTGGAGCAATCAATCTATGTGACCAGAATAATTCAACATCATTCCAAGCCTATTGCAAGGAGAGGAGCAAGGCCTTGCCCCCTAATTATCCCGGAGGATAGGAGCAAGTGATCATCCTCATAATGGAGCCATAGCTGGAAAATATGATGGCGAAATTAAAATTCTGCTTTCCCATATTTATTTCCTCTCCAGCATTTCCCAGTCGGACTGGCTTGGATTTACGTGTTAAAATTCCTCTCCTCCCCTCAACCTCTTTTAGCTTTGACAGCTCAAATGGGCATTTCACAATCAGGAAAGCAATTGGAATTTTACAGTAGATTTCAGAAAGATGTTGTTGAACTGAACTCAGTGTCTCAGTGAAGTTTTCACCTTGGAGCCCTGTCTCACCAAGTCTCCCACATAAACCCATTCACTTTTCCTGTAAGGATATGAGTGGGGAAAACTTCAGATCCTGGTCCTGTGTACGTAGGAGCCCTCTATGTCCCCTAACCCTCAATGACTTCCAGGGATGTGGGTTCTTGTGTATGCCTAAGTGTGTATGAGGTGGGACGCGGGTGGCGCTGTGGGTAAAATCTCAGCGCCTAGGACTTGCCGATCGTATGGTCGGCGGTTTGAATCCCCGCGGCGGGGTGAGCTCCCGTCGTTCGGTCCCAGCTCCTGCCCACCTAGCAGTTCGAAAGCACCCTTAAGTGCAAGTAGATAAATAGGTACCGCTTTATAGCGGGAAGGTAAATGGCGTTTCTGTGTGCTGCGCTGGTGCTGGCTCACCAGCTGCAGCTTCGTCACGCTGGCCACGTGTCCTTGGACGGCGCCGGCTCACGGCCTCTAGAGCGAGATGAGCACGCAACCCTAGAGTCGGACATGACTGGCCCGTACGGGCAGGGGTACCTTTACCTTTAAGTGTGTATGGTGAGTCCAGCACTCTTTCAAACAGGAGCTACCACAGCTGGGCTTCCATGTCATTACCTCAGCAGATAAAGTTCATGTTCAGAATGTAGCTAACCAATATATATGAGATTGGGAAAGTAGCTTTGCCCCAAAACACTATGGACTTGTCCACCATGGAGCAAACTGTAGACCCCATCCTAGTGCTGCCCTGAACTGCCCCCCCATTACATTTTTTAACATCCTTGCCATTTCAGACTTTCCAAGGATTGAAGAACCTCACACTTAAAGGGAGAAGAGTCCAAGACGACACTGAGATGGGGAGGGCATCTTGTGGATGGCCAACACTGATGGGGAGACAGGCTGGTACAAATCCAGATTTTGCTCTAGTGTGGACAATTCTTATGTCTACTGATACGATAGTATGGGG